GGATGGACTTGCTGGTAAAGCTGGGACCAGGCCAGCCGTGGGCAAACTACGGCCCGCTTGAAATTTGCCCAGCCCTGGACTAGACTATGACCCCCCCGGCCCCCGCAAGCCCTGCGCCTCTTACCTGAACCCACCAGGACGTCTGGGTTCCCAAGGGTGACGGCTGCTGTGAAGTCAGAACCCCGGTACTCCCCGTCCACCTGCCAGTTCACGAACTTAGACTGCTGGGTCTGTGGGGAAGGAGGGACGTGTGAGGGCAGCCTGGAGCTCGGGATGGCTGGGGGAGCAGGTGACGCGACGCCCACTCACCTGGATGGCCATCTTGGACCGGAGGCCGGGGCCCAGCTGGTGAATGACCTGAGCATTGAGGCTGCCACTATTGTCCATGTCACCCACCAACACGGGGAATGCCTGTGAGGCAGAGAGTGAGGTAAGCTGAGAGGTTAAAGGTCAGGGGCCTAGCATTATGGAAGTACGTAAGTGATGGGCCCAGGTGAGAAGCTCAGAATCAGAAAAATTCAGTTTGAAGGCCTCCATTCCAGGAAGCTCTCCCTGACCACCTAGGCTGAATTAGGCTCCCCTAGCCTTTGGGTTCCATTTCAGTCCTGCCCACCTTGCACTGTTACTCCCCGGGAACAGACTGTCCCCTCTCGCCACTAGACTGTGAGTCCCACAGCCGTTTCAGCCACTGCTATGTCCCCTGCAGAGAGCTGGACACAGAATGGAGGTACAATGAAGGTTTGCTGAATAAGTGGATTTACTGAATGGAACCAGTTAACAAATTGAGTCTCCTAACTCCTCCCGTATCCTGCCCCAGTCTCCTTCCAGGCCTCCAGTTCCGCCCCCACTCCCCTCACCTAGCCTCTGCACGGCATCCCGAGGCGTTTCTAAAGCATAAACCTGACCATGACCTTCCCTCGTTCAGATCTTCCCAGGGCTTTCCAGTGCCCCCTAGAGAAAGTCCCAATGCCTAGTTTGGCATTCAAAGCCTCATGCAACACAGGATTGGGCAGAGAGCAGGGGTCCAGGATGAAGGAACCACCTTGGAGAGACACAGTGCCCCCCCCCACAGCACCCTCAGCAGCTCTGGCTTCCTCCCGACAAAACCTTCTGGTGTTTGGCTACGCACTTGTCAGAAGAATGATACAATGAATGAGACGACGAGAACCTCACCTCCGTGGGACTCAGCTGCTTTGTCCCCACGTACGTGACCCCGAAATGGTAGTTGGACTCCCCGACTGTACTGAGGGCTACTGTGTGGTTCACCTGAGAGAAGAGGGAGGGCTGTGGGGATGAAGCTGCAGGCCGCCCCCCAATAATCCCAGCTGAGCCCACCTCCACTCCAGCCTGGGGGCCGGGAGTAAAGACTCGGAGGTGTGGCTTGGCTAGATTAGAGATTTAGAGAAAGAATGTGCTGGGGGGGGGGGGGCACGACGACGACACTACATACCTGGCATTTCACTTCTACCTGGATGTTTTTGGGGAAGGGGTATCTCTGAATTCTGGGTCCCTAAACACCCCCACTGAGAAGTCATCTTGGCTCAGTCTCTGAGTCTTTTCAAGGAGCAAGGGGCCCAGCCCTTTTGGGGGGAATAAAGGGGTGGTATGCAGAGGTGCAGGGGGGTGGCTGGGATGCCCTCTGGAGGCAGGAAGGCTCACCTGGAAATGGTTACTCAGCCCTTTGTTGACTGTGAGCTTGACACCTTCCATCTGAATAGGAAACAGCTCTGAAGAAGAGAAATACTGTCACCCCCACCCCCACCCCCACCCGCACCTCTCGTCTCAGCTCTCCCATCTCCAAGGAACCACAGCAGAACGTCCCACAAAGTATCCAACCAGTAAAACGGCGGGATAGCCTGATGGATGGGGCTACGACCAGGGCCTCTGCCCGCTGCTGTGTACCTTTGGTAAGTTGCTTTCTCTATGTCAAACTTGTCATCTGCAAGATGACACTCACCACGTGGGAACATTGCAAAGACTCAGCAAGGTAACATGCACTGAGCGCCAGAGCAGGGCTCAGTACACGTCCATCACTTCTGCCACCGCGATTATTCCCAGCCAGAACCCAGCAGCTTTGGGGGTCCCATGCCCCCTAGACCCTGGCTGACACCGTGACCTTGGGCCTCAGTTTCTTGGCGGGTCACATGAGGAGGCAGGCGGGGCGGATCCCTGGGGCCCCTGAGGCTTCTCTCCACTCCAGTGCCATTCCATCCCGAGGTTCCACCATCTGATCCCATCGTTCTAAGCCCCCAGTGCAACGTTCCACCACCCGATCCCAACGTCGGCTCCCAACGCTCTGTTCAATTAACTCCAAAAGTCGGTGCCAATGCCCAAGGTTGCCTCCATGTGCTCCCCCCTCCCCCGAGATGCGGGCCATCGCACACCCCGCCAGGTCCCGCGCCCCTCACCCTTGCACTTCCGGTGGCACTCCTCGAACGTGCCGGGGTTGGGGAGGCAGCCGCAGGCCCCATCGTCCGCGGTCCCTGCAGTCCCGGGGGTCCGTTCTGAACC